TACTTGGGCCCTGCACCCCATGGGAGACCAGGATAAGTACCTGGCTCCTGCCATCGGATCAGCACGGTACGCCGGCCGCAGCGCGCCGGCCGCGGCGGCCATTGGAGGGTGAACCAATGGCAAAGGAAGACCTTTCTCTCTGTCTCTCTCTCTCTCACTATCCACTCTGCCTGTCAAAAAAAATTTTAAAAAGTTAAAATTAAAAAAAAATAAAAAGAAAAAAACTCAACAACAAAAAAGAGCAAAAGACCAACAACAGCTAAGAGAGTTTCAGGAAGGAGGGAGAGGTACTTGCCCTACTGGATTGTAAGGCTTACTGTAAACTGTAGTAAGTGTTATACAGGTAGAGAAAGGCAAGCAAATAGCAAAACCAAATGTTGGAGAAATGGATTCACAATATATGAGAACTTGATAAATGACAGGAAGCACCACAAATCAATGGATCAAGTAGAGTCAACAATAAATTGAATTGGAACAAGGGAGCAAGGGAGGAGAATACAATTTTGACATCCTCTGGATATTTCAGAAAGTTCATGGAGCAATGGAATTAAAGCAGAAGTTTATTTTGGTGCAAAAGTTTTGAAATCCATACATATTTTTCATAGTACATACTTTCCATGAACTTTTTGAAGACCCCCTCATATGCATGGATATCAATTTTTTTGTTGCACCAAAACAGCCTTACCTTTTAATTCCATTTTCCTGTGGATGTTTTGGATTATCATCATGTAAAAATTCTAGTTGTATTAAAAATCTAACTAGGCCAGTGCCGCGGCTCAATAGGCTAATCCTCCACCTAGCGGCACTGGCACACCGGATTCTAGTCCCGGTTGGGGCACCGGATTCTGTCCCGGTTGCCCCTCTTCCAGGCCAGCTCTCTGCTGTGGCCAGGGAGTGCAGTGGAGGATGGCCCAAGTACTTGGGCCCTGCACCCCATGGGAGACCAGGATAAGTACCTGGCTCCTGCTTTTGGATCAGCGCGGTGCGCAGGCCGCAGCGCACCAGCCGTGGCGGCCATTGGAGGGTGAACCAATGGCAAAAAGGAAGACCTTTCTCTCTGTCTTTCTCACTATCCACTCTGCCTGTCAAAAAAAAAAAAAAAAAAAGCTAACTAAAGACTTTAAAGCTGCCATTTAGAATAAAGAAGAATATTCTTTCTTGGTTAAAAAAGGACTTTTCAGGAAAGAAAACAGAATACAAACATAAAAAATATTAGTGGTGACTTTATTAAAATTTAAAATGTTCACATCTCAAAAGACCCTATAAATAAAGTGAAAAGACAAATCTCAGATTTAGAGAAGATATTTGTAATGAATGTAACTGAAAACATTTTGGTTTGCAACATAAAATATTCCCTACAAGTCATGAAGGAAGAAACATAACCACAGGAAAAATCAACAAAATATGTTAAGCCATTTACAGAGCAGAATATTACAAATGGCTAAGAAACATGAAAAGTTCTTCAGCCTCACAAGTAATTGTGGTAATGCAAATTATACCATCACATACTCATAAAATAGGTAAGCATGTAAAGAAAATGTGGTGTATATATACAGTGTGGAATACTACTCAGCCATAAAAAGAATGAAATCCTGGCTTGGCAACAAAATGGATACAACTGGAAACAAGCAGTGTTGTTTCACAACAGTGAAACAAGACGTCTCAGAAAAACAAATACATGATTTCTCTGATATTGAGCAGTTAATATAGAATACAAAAAATGTATAGGAATGAAATGGACATTTTGTGATACAATTGTCATTTTTAGCCTTGTTTATACTCCTGTGGAACTGTAGTCTCCCTAATTTTTTTTAAAGATTTGTTTGTTTATTATTTGAAAGGCACAGTTACAGAGAGGCAGAGGAAGAGAGAGAGAGAGAGAGAGAGAGATCCTCCATCTGCTCGTCCACTCCCCAAATAGCTGCAAAGGCCGGAGCTGGGCCCTTGTGAAGCCAGGAGCCCACGTGGGTGCAGGTGCCCACGTGGGTGCAGGTGCCCAAGCACTTTCTACTTTTTACTTGTTGAATATTATGGTTAGTGGTGGATTAAACATGTGATTGTAGAGTGGATTAAAATTTTGTCTTTATGGGGGTCAGCGCTGAAGCATAGCAGGTAAATCCAGGTAAACCTGCAGTGCCAGCATCCCATATGGATGCTGGTTCTAGTCCCTGCTGCTCTACTTCCAGTCCAGCTCTCTGCTATGGCCTGGGAAAGCAGTAGAAGATGGCCCAAGTCCTTGAGCCCCTGCATCCATGTGGGAGACCTGGAAGAAGCTCCTGGCTCCTGGCTTCGGATTGGCCCGGCTCCAGCTGTTGTGGCCATTTGGAGAGTGAGCCAGTGGATGGAAGACCTATTTTTCTCTTCCTCTGCCTCTGCCTCTCTGTAACCTTGCCTTTCAAATAAATAAATAAATCCTTAAAAAATTATGTCTTTGCAAAAACTGGTGAAAGAAGAAGGGAGAGCGAGGGAGATTGGGGGACAGGGGAAGATAGGGAATTGTGGTTGTCTTCTTGAAACTGTACCTATGGAATGCATAAAATCTGTTCTCTTTATGTTAATAAATAAATAATGAAATGACTATATGATGTCAAAGATGTCAGACTGTGACCCTCTTACATTCCTGGTGGAAGAATAAATTGATTCAAGAACTCAGGAGAGCTATTTTTTAAAATCTAATAAAGTTGAAGCACACCCAAACACCTGGAAATTCTTCCTCTAGTATGGGCTTAAGAGAAATACACTCCTGTAAATGCATAAGGAAGCATGCAGAACAGTCCTTCTGACACCATTTGTAATAGTGAAATTTTAAACAACTATCCCTTTAATGAGCTGGCATGTTGTAGTGTATTTGCGTAACAGAATACTATACAACAGTTAAAAATCAGTGAACTAGAATTGTACATAAAACATAGACAAATCCATCACTAATACTGATGAGGAAGATGCATAAGATATATGTGTCGTAATGTTATTTATATAAAAACCACATTGAACAATCAGTCTTTTATGCTACTTATGGATCTATAGTAAAATTGTATAATATTAAGCATGTTTCTAAATACCTGTTATGATAAGCATTACTTCTAAGGAAGCATGTGAATGGATGAGAGATATACAAATAAAGAAGGCAAAATATTAAGAGTTGATAAGTCTGAGTGGTGGCTACATGGTTTATTTTGGATCTTATAATTTTTATATACTTGAGATTGTTTGTAGTAAATAATTTAAATTATGAAAGAAATTCCATAATTATATATGTATGTATTTTTTAATTTAAGAACAAAAAAATGTATAGGAATGAAATAGACATCTTGTGAGATGATTGTTGTTTTTAGCCCTTGTTTATACTCCTGTGGAACTGTGGTCTTCCTGCTTTTAACTTGTTGAATTTTATGGTTAGTGGTCAGTTAAGCCTCTAATTATAGGGTATATTAAAATTATGTCTTTGCAAAAATTAATGAAAAGAAGGAAAGGAAGGAGGAGGATTGGGGAAGAAGGGAAGTATGGTTATCTTCTTAGAACTGTACCTATGCAATACATTAAATCTGTCCTCTTTATATTAATACAATTTTTTTTAATTTAAAAGGACAAAAACAGATTTAATAATAAGAATATGTGAGAACCTCTCAAAAATTCTGATATGCTCTGGATCTTGTTAATGGAAAAATCTTATAAAATGATCTTGTTATAAAGATCTGATACTTTAATAAAAAATATGTCATATTCCTCTCTGTTAGTAAGTTAACATGACTATTGTGGAGAACCTTAAATTGATTTATCTTCACACATGCTTTCTAAAGTTAACATTCTGAGAGCTACATTTACATGTCTCATAAATGCTATTTTGAAACTTAAGTGTAAGATCCATGTGAACTTTTTTTGGCTTGAATTTAAAGAAATGCCCAAAAGTGAAAGAGAGTTAATTCTAATATTGCTCTAAAGTCTCTTAAAAATATTATTTTGATTTTTGCTTTAAGTGATTTTCTGTAAATATTTTATTCTTCATTTCCTCAGTAAGAGTGTTATCTGGGATTTGAGCAAATGGTTTGTATTATCACTGGCACATTCTTTACCTGCCCTCAAATGATAATTTTAGGTTGCTTAATACTTGGATCAGATTTAACAGAAATTGTAATATATCTTAATTTTGTTAGATTTGGTTTATTTCAAATATTTACAAAGAAACTTAACCACAGGAATTGAGTAGTTTTTTCCTTGATTTATAAAAGAAAAGGTAGAAGTATGAATATTTTGTACTGTTTCATTATTTATAGTTTTTCACAGCAGACATGAAAAAGTGAAATGACAACTTTTAAAGATATTTTAGATGCTGTTGTTATGTAGCAGTCTAGCATACTTTTGGATTTCTTTGGTGGTGAGGCCATTTCCATTGTGTTGGATAGATGGGCTTAAATGGCAGGAACATGACCAGAAAGTGCACTTTATATATGTTTCAGTCAGCATGTTGCTGCTGACAGGTGCTCAGTGGTTGTTGGTATCGTTGTCAGCAAAGAGAATCCTTTGACATTAAAGTCACCAGCGAAGTCTGATTTGGGTGACTCTATTGGCAGTTCCATCAAGCTGCAGCTGATCAGTGAATGTCACAGCTGCTGCTAGTGTCACCAGCCTCCTGTGGGTTTTTTTTTTTTTTTTTTTTAAGGAGGGGCTGTTTAACTTGTCTTGTTGTTTATTCTTAACTGAACTTCCAAATTGCTTACCTCTGGGAAATGAACTGAGAGTTCAGAAGGAATATATGTGTCTTTAGGCCATACAAAACCATATACAAGTGATGACTTACATGAAGACTAGTAATGATTACCTTGACTCCAAGCCAATCCATGGCGTACCACCTGGGGACTCATTAAATGGCATTTGTGGTATCTGTAACTGGGATTTCGAGCTGTATTTCAGGAAAAGCAGTGACAGCCTTTAATGTCTACTTGACCTCTTCTCTTTGTTTCACTTTCCATATTTGCCTCTGATGTGGTCCCTGATGGCAGCAAACGGCACTGCTCAGCATTTTGAACTTCTGTTCAGAGCTTCAGCACCTCAGTTTGGGCAGTTGTATAATGGTAAGTATTTAAACATTCTTTTTGCTCAGTTGCTTGCTCTCTCTTTCTTTCCATGGGTGACTTTTATTCTGAGTCATCCACCTCACACTCACCCACAATTTCTCAGATTTATGATGAGCTATTTTATGCCCCACTTTCAAATAGTTTTCTTAGATTGGAGTATGTCATTGAAACAACACCAATATTTACCTATGAGAGCAAGGGAAGAAAGTTAGTATGGTAGAAAGAGTTCAGTTCTGCCCCAAGCCAGATGTTATCTCAAGATGAGCTATGTACCTCTCTGGGTTTCTTTGCAAAATAAGGTAAATAAATTTTCCATGTAGCTAACTTTAGTCTTTAAATTCTGAGATTGTTTTCCAGAAATGTTGCTGATGGTAAATGGCTGTATTTTATTTTACTTTCCTTACTGGAAAAAAATAAAAATTGGACACCCTGTGTAGGAATTCAGATTTTTCTGAAATTTTACTGATTTCTGAAATCCAAAGACCTAGGACTAGACAATCTCTAAACTCCTTACAGATTTAAAATTATGATTTTTATATTCCACAGAAAGAGCTCAAGGGAATAGTTGAATCTTTTTTATGTAAGCTACATCATTCTATATAGCTTATAAATAAAACTAACGCTGAAGGGGCAATTCATATGAGAGGGGTGTGTTTGCATTTATACATGCATGCTCATTAGAAATGAGTCTTCTGGGGTAAATGTGGTACAGCAGGTTAGGTCACCACCACCTTCAATACCTGCATCCCGTGTCCTGGCTGCTGCACTTCTGATCCAGCTCCCTGCTAATGAGTCTGGGAAAGCATGAGCTGATGGCCCAAATCCTTGGTCCCCTGCATGCATGTGGGAGATGCAGAGGAGGCTTCTGGCTTCTGCCGGTTGTGGCCATTTGGGGAGTAAACCAATGGATGGGAGAGTCAGTCTCTCTCTCTCTCTCTCTCTCTCTCTCTCTCTCTCTCTCTCTCTCCCTCTCCTTCTGCCTTTAAAGAAGAAGAGGAAGAAGTGAGTCTTCCTATCTGTGAAGCACTCCATTCTTGTTCACTTCTTTCCTTGCCCATATGCTAACATTATCTACCAAGGCAGATTTAGGAGGTCCTCCCAAACCATTCCAGTTTTGCTTCCACTTAGTAGGAAGGCTTGAATAAGCAGAATGGCTGCAATATTCCAGGAAAGTTCTGGTATCCTAGCCTTGGAATCAACAGTCGGTATCCCTGAGCTAAAGTAGATCTCAGTGGCTTCAGAGATGCCCCAAGATGGGTCATGTAGGCCAGCTGGAACTCTTAGAATGACGTATTTCTATCTCCAGTCCCCATAGTCTTTAATCTTACTAATTAGGTCTTATTAAACCCCAAGAATGCTCATAGATCTATCCCGATATCTGGGCTCAGGCCATCCCATTTTCTAGAAAACGTCTTGGGTACTCATTACGTTCTCCTTACTTCTGGTCAAATTCTCACCTTAATGAGCCATTTGATCAGCTTCTATGGATCCCCCTAGTGGTTTTTCTGGGTGGGCCCAGTAACATTTAATGGCAATTTCTATAACAACAAATTAGGCAGTTACTTCCGCTTAGATCTATGCTTTATTGCTGGCCTGCCCTCATTAGATTGGTAAGGCTGCTGCTTGAGTTTGGCACGTTATTTACCTCCTCTTATACTGGAACAATGTCTGTCCCTAGTTATATACATTTTAAGTCAGCATTTTCTAAATTGATCCATGGAAAATTGGTCCTGAAGGATATAACAACTTATAAACAGTTTTTAAAGGTGTTTATATAGGAGTGTAACAAGTAGATTGGGGATTCCTAATTAAGAAGTGATGTTGCAGTTCCATTCCCTCCCCCTCACCCAGAGGTTTTTTTTTTTTAAGATTTTATTTATTTATTTGAGAGGTAGAGATACAGACAGTGAGAGGGAGAGACAGAGAAAAATGTCTTCCTTTTGTTGGTTCACTCCCCAAATGGCCGCAATGGCCAGAGCTATGCCAATCCGAAGCCAGGAGCCTGGTGCTTCTTCTTGGTCTCCCATGCGAATGCAGGGGCCCAAGCACTTGGGCCATCTTCTACTGCTTTCCCAGGCCAGAGCAGAGAGCTGGATTGGAAGAGGAGCAGCCAGGACTAGAACTGGTGCCCATATGGCATGCTGGTGCCGCAGGCAGAGGATTAACCTACTGTGCCACGGCACCCGTCCCTCACCCAGAGTTTTGCTATGATATGTCCTACAACAAAGAAACTGTTTTTATCCTTCTTTAAAGCACTGTACTTTCCAGTCTTACCTGGCCATGAACCTGTTTGTCCATGCCACATTTATTAGTACGTAAAACAGTAAAGGACATGCTGCTTTAGATAAACAGGCTATTTTAAAGTATGTAGTTATCAGTAAGATATTGTTTGCTCAGAAATAAAGTTTTCAGTACTTGACAGAGAAGTTCAGAAATAATTCTAATATTGCAGATACTACTGCTAGTATTGTAATTGGGATATTCTGTAATTGTCTTAGAAAATCTGTTCTTATTTTACAACCAGGAAAGTGACACAAACAGTTCATGTTTGATTGTCTTGGTTTCTTTTCTATCAGTTGACCAGATGTCAGGATGGTATACTTGATCATTTATCTTTGACTATCAAAAAGGTAGCAATTTTCAGTTTTGTATTATTTGTGGCATTTTGTCCACATAAATATAGCACTGTTAACTTTGCACAGTGATCATGGTCTATTATATGTCTTCTCTGAGTCTTCTTCTAATGCCATTTTTTTTTATATTTAACTTAACATCAAATTAGTTGTATAGCTCTTTTTTCTCTGAAAATAATCTTTGTGCCACAGTTGCCAGTTTCATACATTTTCAGTGGTGAGAACTTATGAAGAGTAGTATCTCACCAGTAATAGTCAAGTCAGTACCATAAACATTTTTGGTAGGACTCTTTGCACATTTTTATTATTCCTGTAATTGGAAAGAATTTTCTAAAAAAATTAATAAATGATCATCTCTGTTTTAAAGTTTTGTCATCTAGGACTGCTTTAGTGAAAAGCAGTGAAAAAACTGATTTTTAAAAATCTCAAAACAAGCCGGCGCCGCGGCTCACTAGGCTAATCCTCCACCTAGCGGCGCCGGCACACCGGGTTCTAGTCCCGGTCGGGGCGCCGGATTCTGTCCCGGTTGCCCCTCTTCCAGGCCAGCCCTCTGCTGTGGCCAGGCAGTGCAGTGGAGGATGGCCCAAGTGCTTGGGCCCTGCACCCCATGGGAGACCAGGAAAAGCACCTGGCTCCTGACTCCTGCCATCGGATCAGCGCGGTGCGCCAGTCGCAGCGCAGCGGCCGCGGCGGCCATTGGAGGGTGAACCAACGGCAAAGGAAGACCTTTCTCTCTGTCTCTCTCTCTCACTGTCCACTCTGCCTGTCAAAAAAAAAAATTAAAAAAAATAAAAAAAAAATAATAAAAATAAAAAAAATCTCAAAACAGTCGTAAGTTTGTTTTATCTATTAGCTCCAGCCCTCCCTTCTATGAAATCTTTGAGCAAGTATATGAGTTAGAGTTAGGTTCAACTGCCAGTGAGAAAACCTCCAGCTGACTCTGCTTAAACAAGATGGTGTATTTCTCTTTCATGCAGATAAAGTCTTGGAGGTGGGTGGTACAGGCTGGTATGGTAAAGCTACTCCTCAGACTTCTGAGAGGCCAGACTTCTAGCTCACTGCTCTGCAGTCCCCATGGCCTCGTCTGACCTCATGACTCACAGTGGCGCTCCAGCTGTAACATCCCCATGACACACAGCCTGGAAGAGAAAGGGGCCTACACCTCTCCCGAAGTATACTTTCTAGATGTTGCATAGCTTTCAAAGCTAACTTCCTGTTATCTAGAACTTCACTATGTGACATACTTTGTAGCACAGAAAGCTTCAAAGTACAGTTTTCATTCTGGGGAGTCATGCTCAAGGAAAATTCAGAATAGAAGTTAACATTAATAATGTGTTTAGTTTTATATTTGTTTTCTACTAAATTCATCTCAGGAAGAGGTAAGAAACAATGAAATGACCCACTGGTGGATGGTGAGAAAGAGAAGTCAATAAAGAATGTATATAATATGCCAGATAGCCTTACTTGATACTTAGTTTTTAGCTTGTGCTATTCCATCTGGTGATGATACCCACATGTAGATAGTGAGCACTTGAAATGTAGCCAGTCCAAACTGAGAAGTGATATAAATGTAAAATATACCAGATTTTGAAAGCGTAGTACCAACAAATGTTAACCATCTCAATTTGTTATATTCATGTTCAAATGCTAGTGTTATAGATAAAAAAATATATTGTTAAAAGTAATTTTATCTGTTTCTTTTTCATTTTATAAAATGTGATGAAGGAAAGTTAAAATTCCACATGTGGTTGAAGTAATTTAAAGTTGGCCAAATTAACAATTTTAAGACCTAGCTCACGTTTTCTCAGACTTCCATCTAATTGTATGATACTGGCCAAGTCACCTAACTTTTTAATGATTGTTCTGTGGCATATGTCAAATTTTTAAAAATTATATAATGAGAATATCAATGTGTCTGGTCTTTTAGAAACAACTGTTCTATGTAATTTCTGTAATTCACAGTGAGTTATAATTATTAAGGAAAGGATAGGTCACTTCTAGTCTAATAAGAAGTATTTGATTCTTATTTTTCCAGTTGAATCTCTTTGTGATTTGTATTTTTAAGAATGTTGTGAAATTTTCACACACACATGAAAACTCTTGAAAGAATTTCACACGGAATAGTATGCTGGTAGAGAATTTAGTCTGTACGCCATGGAGATTGCCGTGGTACAAGTCCAGCACAATCAGAATCATGGGTTTCGGAAAGTTTTTCAATTTCTGTTCTCAAACAATGCTAATTGGCTGCACTAATTAGCAAAGCTATAGTTAATTTGTGCATGTACATTTAGGGAAAGAATTGTGTTCCCAACCTGTTTCTGATAGACTTTTGCATGATTCTACCAGACACAGATGCTGCAGAGCAGAGCCTTAGAAAGAAAGCATCACCATTACATCTAATCTGTCAGCCCTGCATCCTCTCTCAAGCATAGCCCCGCTTCTGCCCAATTTCTCCCAGTACCATTTACCACCTTAAAATTCAAGTCCTTGTTGTCTCTCCACAATAGCATTACTGGCCTCTTCACTGGCAATTCACTGTGCCATTCCTTTGCTTAGAACTTATCATTGACTTCCATAGTCCTTAAAATAAAATGCCCTGGTCTCTGCCTAACTTTGCTCCATGAGTCTGTCTACTCCCTCACCTCTCATGGGCCACCCCATCTCATTTCTGACTCTTGAATGCAACAAGCTATGTTGTCGGAAGCCAAACAACCACTGTCTTCCCACTCAACTCCTGAGACTCGACTACTCTGACCTTTTTTTGTTGTTTTACACCTTTTATCACTCTCTGAATTTCTTTTGCTCATTTGTGTGTGTTTCCCCAATATGTAAACAAAATCTTTGTTTTCTTGTTTATTGCTATATTAACATCTAGAGTGGTGGTGGCCCATAGTAGGGATATAAATATTTGTTGAAAGTAAGAATAGACAGGGGCCGGCGCTCTGGCGCAACTGGTTAACACCCTGGCCTAAAGCACCGGCATCCCATATGGGCGCCAGTTCGAGTCCCGGCTGCTTCACTTCCAATCCAGCTCTCTGCTGTGGCCTGGGAAAGCAGTAAGAAGATGGCCTAAGTCCTTGGGCCCCTGCACCCGAGTGGGAGGCCCGGAGGAAGCTCCTAGCTCCTGGCTTCGGATCGGCGCAGCTCCGGCTGTTACGGCCAATTGGGGAGTAAACCATTGGATGGAAGACTTCTCTCTTTCTTTCTCTCTCTCTCTCTCTGCTTCTCCTCTCTCTGTGTAACTCTAAAATAAATAAATTTTTTTAAAAAGAAAATAAGAATATATATATGAACAAAAGCGAATGACCATTGTAGTCATTTACTATTTTATTTCCTTTTGGTTTCTCATGATAATTTTGATACATGCTATAAATCAAATGAACCTACTGAATGAACCTATATAAAGACACATTGTTAAAGCTTTTAAAGCCCAAGAACTGAAATGTTTAACCCTTGATTTGTAAGGATTTATCCTGTAATCATGAGATAAGATTTGAACACCTCCAATAACTTGGCAGTGATTAACATCTCGTAATCTAAATTATTTTCATGTTGTATGTCAACCCCCAAATGCCTCATGTTCACCCCAAACTAGTATCCTTATTAGTACTGTCATCATTTCCACATGATTTAGAACTTAGCAAGTGCACATCTGTATCAGGCAGATTATTTGTACCTACCAAAGTATATTAATCATATATATAGAAGAGACTGGGGCCAGAATTGTGCTGCTGCAGGGTAAGTCACTGCTCTCAATGCCAGCATCCCATATCAGTGCAGATTCAAGCCCTGGCTATTCTGCTTCTACTACTGCACCTGGGAAGGCAGTGAATGATGGTCCAAGTACTTGGGTCCCTGCCACTTATGTGGAAGACGCAGATGGAGTTCCTGGCATTGGACTGGCCCATTCCTGGCTGTTGCATGCATTTGGGGAATGAACAGAAAATGGAAGAATGATCTCTCTCTCTCTCTCGCTCGCTTTCAACTAAATTATTTCAACTAAATAAATAAAATCTTAGAAAAAATACAAGAGACTGAGCCTTGTCAACAAGTAGTTGCAAGGTCAAAAAAGATAACACATAATCTTCAAATTCTTCATGGGAGACAGAACTTCAGACTGCCTTGGGACTCAATTCTTTACCATCTAACTGGGGTTCTGTTAAATGGATTGTTGAGTAAGTGATTGCTACCCGTGCTGTTCTAGGATGCACAGAGATCCGTGAGATGAGTGGGCAGATCTGTATTAAGTGGGTGTGTTTATGTGGAGGAGGTGGTTAAGAATGTTTTAACTTGTTCTAAACAGTCTGCATTTCTGAGCACTACATGTACAAGACTGGAATTGTTTGATTTCCAGATTGAAGACTATGATGTGGTAGCTAGTATGATTGGAGCTAAGTGTAAGAAGCTCCGGACCCTGGATCTCTGGAGATGTAAAAATATCACCGAGAATGGAATAGCAGAACTGGCTTCTGGGTGTCTGCTTCTGGAGGAACTCGACCTGGGCTGGTGCCCCACTCTGCAGAGCAGCACCGGCTGCTTCGCCAGACTGGCACGTCAGCTCCCAAACTTGCAAAAACTCTTTCTTACAGCCAACAGGTCTGTGTGTGACACAGACATTGAAGAACTGGCAGGTAATTGTACCAGATTACGGCAACTGGACATATTAGGTAAGGATACAATGCTCCTATATACATTTATTTTAAAGCCCCATTAAAGTCCCATTCCTTGACATAAAGGCCAGTCTTGGTCTTTTTGCACAACTTATTGGTACAATGAAAATTTTGTCCTGATATGACTAGTTTGCTTGATGGGAAGCGTAAGACTAACTGGTATCAAATGGTGTAAAGTAAAATAGAAGGATAATAACGTAATTTTGTAACTGAACCTGTCAAAACCACTCAATAACCACAAATTCTTGATCTAGTTAGAAGAATTTGGATCTAAATGCGTCCTGATCTCTTATTTTTTTAAGGCTAGAAAAGAAAAAAAATGAATCCATTTGTATAATGAATTCATGTTAGATTTTTTTTGGGGGGAAAGATTCTTAATGTTAAACTCCTGATTGAGGAATACTATGAAGTCTCCATCTCTGATAATTCTAGTTTTTTGGAGCAGTTTGACCCCAGGATAGATCTGTTGTGTGTCCTTACTGTATTCATCAGCAAGGAAGCCTGTGAGGTTTCGTTACACGCCTCTTCTATTAGCCAGAGGTACTAGTTGTGCCATTTAGTTATAATTTCCCACAAAATTGATATGCTTGGAACTCTCAATAGCACTTGAATTGAATTTTCTAGTAATCTATTTGTATTTATTTTTCCTTGTTTATTTAACTTTCAGCAAAACAGAAAACCTGAAGCTTTTCAACACCTGAATTTGTGGTTTCAGTTAAACTCTCCCACAGTCCAGGTTTACAATACATTTGTAGATGTTGCTTATATAGTTGGATATTAACTTATTCAAACTACTTTTACAAAGAAATTCTGACCTAAAAATGTACACTGAAACTCTTGCCTTTACATGCACACTTTGGACAGAATACTTCATCAGTGTGTTTTACTGGATCTTCACAGCTCAAGGAATTGCATATCATTGTCTTTTCATACTTGAGGGTACCAGTGCTCAGCAGTTAATAAGTAGAGGGGCAGCAGGTCAAACCCATGTTTTTTGGTGGCCAGACTCTAAGTACTTTTTTTTTTTTTGCAACATTACACCTACTTGCCTTATTTACATCCTTTACTTCCTACCCACCTTCCCTCTTGAATTATTGTAGACCTTTTATAAAAGAAATAGTGTTAAGAAATTTTAGAGAAAGTCATGACTTCACAATGAGAACAAGGAAACGTGGCCAGTGGCTTTTAAAATGAATATGAAGGCAGATGTTGTGACACAGTGGGTTAAGCCACCATTTAGAATACCTGGATCTCCTATCAGAGTATTGTTTTGAGTCCTTGCTGCTCTGTTTCAGACCCAGCTTCCTGCTAATGCACCTGGGAAGGCATGTGTGAGACTTGGATAGAGTTTTCAGGCTTTTGGCTTTGACCTGGACCATTTGGGGAATTAACCAGTGGATGGAAAGTCAATATTTCTCTCTCTCTCTCTCTCTCTCTCTCTCTCTCTCTCTGTCACTATGCCTTTCAAATAAATAAATTTTTAAAATTTGTAAAAAATAAAATGAATATAAACTTCACTTCAGAGTATAGTGCTAATTATTATAGATCCTAATAGATCCTGATAAATTAATATAGATCCTGCTAAATATTATAGATCCTAGCCATGATGCTATATATTCTTTTTTGTTGTTGCTTTTTAGTTTTCTTTGATTTATAAATATTAGAAACCTTTTTTAAAAAGGATTGTTAATTAGATCAAGTTGATAAAAGTTATTTTGTCATTTTGTGACCAGAACATACGGGTGTTAAGAGGATTAACTTCATCAGACTGAAAATACTGATCCTCAGTACAAAGCGGAGTGAGACACACAGTTGCTACCTTCACAGAGTTCATAACCTAGCAAGAAGTAAGACAAATATATAAATAAATATTATGCAAGCCAGAGACGAGTCCATTTGATGGGACTCAGAAAAGAGAAAGCATGTATTACTGGGAGAATTAGGGGAGAGTGTCATTAAAGATATTCTTGAAAAGTGACTAGGAAACAAGGGAAAGGGAAGGCATGCTAGGCAGAGGGCATCACATGAAACAAGGTTGCAGACAATCCCTTATGCGTGACAGTTTCATTTATTTATATTTTACTTTGTGATGGTTTGAGTTATTTATTTATTTATTTATTTATTACTTTACAATGGTGCAGCAGCTACACACATTCAATAAAAACTGCACTTTGAATTTTTATCTTTTCCTAGCTAGTGACACATGGTATGAGCCTCGCTTTCAGTGCTGGACAGCACCAGTAGCCACAGCTGCAGCCCTGTCAGCAATCATGAGGGGAAACAGCTGATACTCTACTATGTAGTGTCTCACTAAGCTATGGTGTTCAATAGGTTAGGCGACTTAAATACATTTTCAGCTTGCAGTACTTTAAATTCAAAATGGGTTTATTGGGATATCACCCCACAGTACATTGAGAAGCATCTCTACAGAAGCCAGAAATACAGAATACCTTCAGAGAACAGTGTCATTTGAATGGCAGTGTGCTGGAGGCTCTCATGCAGAGTTTTGAACACTGGGATAAAGAATCTGCACACAATTAAACAAGGAAGAGCTACTTCAGGGCTTTAATTAGAGGAAAGAATGATATTTGCATCACTGTGTTTTAGTAATATTTATATAGAATCTAGTAAGAGTTGGATTGGAGAAAGAAGAGATCAAAATCAGATTTGCTACAGTAATGCATTTAATGTGAGGGTCCAGGGAGATTATATTGGAAAATTAACCACCATCCCATCATTCTTTGATTCATTACAAATTTATTGAGCACGTAGTATGTCAAGCATTGTCTTAAGCACTGGAGATATGACAATGCACAGCATGGATATGGCCCCTGCCCTGACAGAGCAAGCTGATTGAACACATAACCATGTTATAAATAGGCAACAAGACAGAAGAAATGCAAAGTACTTTGGAAACAGAGTACAGAGGACCCTAGCCTAGTTAAGTTTTAAATCTGACTTCCTTCCTAGGCATTCTCTTGGCTTTAAGGAACTTCTAGTTCTGATTCTAATGGGCAAGACTAGCAAAACGAGAAATGATTACAACAGTAGGTAGAAAATCCCACATAGGTGGCTGTTCCTGGGTTGAAGTTCTCTGATCTTACTTTGCAGAAACCCACTTGAGATAATTTAAGCATAAGAAAGAAAGAAAATTATTATAAAGATACGTGTGTGTCAGATTCCATGTATAGGAACTACAGTCATCCCTCAGAAGGGACTGGAAACCACTCTCCCCTTTTCCTTCCTTTTCCTATCTTGCATGCTTAGGTACCTTTCCTCACTCACACGCTTTCCCGCTGCATACACACCAAGACTTTTCTTTCTGCTTCTCCCTTTGGTTTTGCATTGTTCTTTCCTCATCTTGCAAGCTATTTTTGCTTTTCTGTATACACATGGCCAGTGTAACAGCCCCAAGCCAGCTTTACATATTGACATTGAAACTTTTCCAATTTAAAAGTCCCAGGAGAATCTACATTGATTTGTCTTAGAGCCAACCAGGCCAGGTGGCAGTACACTTAAAATTTATGTAGTCCATGACAGCAAGAAGAGTAGAAAGGAGGTCCCAGAGAATAAGGCTAGGTTAACATTTCAGAAATTGTAAAGCCCCTCCCATTAGATGTGTGGTGTGTCATGTGATTGTGATTGTTTCTCCCCAGAAATGCTGCATTAAAGCAAAGTATTGTGTATTACACAAACAATCTCATAGTCAGCTGGTACTTGATACTTATTAAGTTGCCTGCCATGTGCAGGTAGGTGCTTTATATAATTTAGTGAACAGTTAACTATCCCATAATCACTGAAATTTAACATGTGCTAAATAGAATTTATCATGCATCATCTTCCAGAAGAACCATTTTATTCTCACCACTGACTATAAAGCCAACCAAATTGTGCTGTTTCTTTGCTTCAACTCGGATCAACATGTCTTTTAATGAAAATACATGTCACATTCATCTTTGTACCTCCAGTAGCTAAAGGGATGCTCAGCACTGTTAGCAGAGTAGTTAGTTGCTTAGTTATAGTGTTGTGTGGAACTAAAGGTTTAATTATTATGAGTGCTGTTGCCTGATTTGACCTATGTATTAAGAAAAATGAGATATGGAAAACACTTTTGACTGGGGTGACAAAAATAAGAATGGAGGAGCTGATATGAAGGGGCCAGGAGGTAGGAATTGAAGGTGGTGACTACAGTATTGATAGCATTTGGGACCTAGATGCCAGATTGGCTGGAAAAATTCAGTGTTTTGCTTTTAACCAGATTGATTTACTATGAAGTCTTTTCTTTAAAAAAAAAATACATCTTTCTGGGGTCCTATTGCATAATGCTAGGGTTACTATAAATAATAAAGTATAGGCTTATCTATTAAAATAAAACCTGGAAGATAGGATTTTGTATGCTTTCATTTCAAAGAAATGTTAAATGCTTGAAAGGGTAAACAATTTCACCATAATTGTATATTGTATAATGTATACATATAATAAATATTACATAGTATCCCATACATGTACATAATTTTTATCTTAACTTTTTAATTAAAAAATAAAATATTATGCATAATAAAATACTTTACAGTGGTCATTTATCGTAATTTTATTTCAAACAGTAAATAATAAAGAGACTTATTATTAGGAGACTTTATAAATGATGTATTTAACATGTTTTGTGTTGTTTGTTCAAACAGGAACAAGAATGGTGAGTCCAGCATCCCTAAGAAAACTCCTGGAATCTTGTAGAGAACTCGTGCTACTTGATGTGTCCTTCTGTTCGCAGATTGACAACAGAGCTGTGCTGGAACTGAATGCTAGCTTTCCGAAAGTGTTCATAAAAAAGAGCTTTACTCAGTGATTGAATCTAGGTTCTGTAATAAAATTAATGTGCTTTTGTAGGGCTTTATTTGGGGGGGCTTTATTTTTTGTTTAATTTTTATAATGGTAAGAATTAAGACATTTGTAGATTCTAAAGAAAAATACCAAGTTGCACATTAAATCAAATAAAAATGTAAACAAATGTTCAGATGTTTTCGCTAATGTTACAAGCACTTTTCTTCAAGAAAATGTAAATGGCTGATATTATTTTTACCTTATGTTAATCAGTGACTGTATGCTTTAGTCAATGATTGTATGATTAATGAATAATATGGAAAAATTTAACTTATTTTTAAAGGAATACTTTGAACAGAAAAGTATCATGATAATATGCAAAAATAAAGTTAATTTTTCACACCTCCATGTGAAGATGCCTTATTAAGCCTTATGACCTGGCAAGTTTTTTATTTGGTATGCACAAAATTGTCAGAGCTAGTTGGTGTCGCTCCCCCTCTTCGTGGAGGAACAACACTAAGCCCTGCCTAAGCTTCATATCCGAGTCACGGCACCATTATGTCGCTCCCCCTCTTCGTGGAGGAACGACACAGGACCCTGCGCTGTTCTTTTGTCTGCTCGGCCCTCCCCGGGTTTGCTGCTGGTTCTTCCCGGGTTGGCTACTATCCCTTCCACCTCCGTGGAAGGGCAGTCCC